AAAGGGGAATCCCCTCTTGGTACAACAGATGGCGATGTGGTTTCTTATCTGACCTCGCTGAGAAAAGAATAATTTTTCTTTCTTTCTTGCTCACCGGTCCGAGAACAAGAAAGCAACGATAACATCTATAATCTGCCACACATTTCCTTGTAAATTAGTTACAAGAATTTGGTATTAGATCAAGGTTACAACTTCTAACTGACGAGTTTAAGTATTCCCATCACCTATCTGCTGGATAATGTGTGGATATTAAAGGGAGAAGTAACATTTTAATCATTTCATAAAGTTTAAAGGTTAACAGCCAAGAAGAAATTTAGAATCTCGAATAACCGCAATGACGCCATTTTCGTCTTTACATTTCGCTAAGTAGGCACAACTTTGCGCATTCAGCAGCAGTGAATGTAATACTTGCCTGAGTGTCATTGTAATTTTTTTATTGTTTGAGTTATAATTGACTACCTGTCGTTTAAACGAATTATGAACTAAAATTCATCACAGTTTGTGTCACTCTCCATAATAAACGGACTTGTTTGACTTGTATTAATCGTATTAGTCTAAGCAACTCTACTCGTAGCCTAAAGACCGTTCCGCAGCAATTTTGAGGAATGAAAAGTAGTGGTCGTCGTTTTCAGTGAGATATTTATCAGAAGAAGAACACTTCAACGGCCGAGGCTTAACTTTGGCCACTATTTTCATGACAAAAACAGAAAAAGGGTATTGTCACCTAGAGCAGAACGAAATCTTAGTAATCATCAATTATCGCTTTCTGCGGTCGAAACCTTCATTAACCTTTATTGTTTATCAAGAGGTTTTTTTCTCCCTGTATAATCAATCGTCCTTAACCTTTCTCAACGTCTGGGGCTACATAGACATTCTTGGTTGTCTCAAGGAAGCAACGGATTTCGCGTTTTCCGTATTATTGCACTGTTAAGTAGCAAAATAACCCAATATGCGTGGTGAAAGCACTCAAAGATAATCTGTCTGTTATTCGTATTCTATTATGTAAATAAAAGGAATTATTACCAAGGTCCCTTGGATGACAACAAAACACGTGAATTATTCTGTGCTAATCGTCAAGCTTCAAGAGCGTCATACCCAGTTCAGTATAAGTGACATGAGTAGGTCGCTATTTTAAGAACAAAATGTATTACAGTAAATGGTTTGAACCTAGGGGTAACATGTGATAGTGTAGTTTGATCGTCAAGTGCTTGACTCTGATGATGACTTCCACTCAGGTTGTCGAAACGTCAGTCACCACTACCGACAGGCAGTCCTTGATCTCAGGACTACACTCACCCGGAAGATCAAACTACACTATCACAAAATATATTCCTATCGATCGTCCAATCTTTTGAGTTGGCGCACGATGTATTATTGTGGGGTTTAACATAAAAGCGTTTTGTATGTGACCAGAGCAAAAATATTTACAAAAATCAGCGAATCGAATACTTTTATGCCTGAATCGAGACAACAGTGCAGCCGAGAGCAAAAATGTCTATAAAGATCTGCGGATCGAATACTTGCATATCTGAATGGAGACAACAGTGCAGCCCAAAGCAAAAATGTCTATAAAAACCAACGAATCGAGACGACTGAGAGCAAAAATGTTTACCAAAATCTGCTAATCATCCAGAATCATAAGCCCGTATTGTTCTTATCATGACGTCATGTGTATACTGACGGATTGGAGTGACAGGCGGCGTGGGTGTCAAAAAAGTCGCAAAATGTTGATAAAAAATAAGCGAATCGAGTACTTGTATGCCTGAATGGAGACAACAGTGCAGCCCAAAGCAAAAAGTGTTTATAAAAATTAGCGAATCAAATACTTGTATGCCTGAATGGAGATGACTGAGAGCAAAAATGTTTATAAAAATTAGCGAATCGAACACTTGTATGCCTGAATGGAGACGACTTAGAGCAAAAATGTTTACCAAAATCTGTCAATCATCCAGAATTAGCATAAGCCCGTACTGTGTTTATCATGACATTATATACATGCGGACGGATTGGAGTGACATAGGATCTGAGCGTCTTTAGTCACAGCGCAGTTGATAAAATCTTCAGACAATTTTCGAGGTTCATTCGATAACTCTGTGAGTGATGAAAAAATTTTTATGTAATGCACTCTTTGTTGCATTTCTTGGTGGGATCGTAACAATCCTGTACTTGAAGCTGTGGAAGAATAAAGAAAGAGTAGTAGAGCGAGGAAGAAGACGACCGAGTGGATTTAATAACCCGCCTGAGAAGCAGCCTGTAGAAAATGACGAGAGATGCGCGAAGATGCCTCAAGAACACGAAGAGATGTTTTAGATTAAATGTGAGTATAAAGTTATCTCTTAAAAATTAATTTCTAAACATTTATAATAGGAGTTATTAAGCATGAATCGATAAATTTATCTCTGAAATATGAGTTTCTAAACATTTATAAAAGAGGTTATTCAGCATGAATCGATGCAGGCCACTATAATGATAGGACTTCTAATTGCCTTCACCGACTTAACTATAGTGTTCAGCATGAATTGTGTGAGTTAAAACTAAGCCCTAACAATATTCTTAAACAACTAAAGTTAATTGAGTTCAACAAAGCTTCGCTGGGCCTCCCCAAATTCCTACAAAGTGCGCTGAACAAATTTGATCCTTTTCAGTCTCTTTATGCAGATTATTTAAAATGCCTTAGGATCCCCTGGCTTTTTGACATTCGGCAGTGTAATGAATAATGAATTAAGAATAGAATTGTTAATTTTATATCTTTTGTTTACCCGACAGAAACCAGGAGCGCTGAGATCAAATTCCTGGCATTTCTACAAGCTGTTTTATTGTACGGAAAGAAAGCCATAAACTGTAAATGTGTGATTTAACTCGTATGCAATAGGTTATGATTGATTTCTTGTGTTCGCATGAATGAATCGTTTCTATCATAGTCTGTAACGTTTAACTTACATAGAACTTGAAGTATCAGTCGCGAGTATATGATTGTGAACTATTTGTTTTATTGGGAGTTTGTCTTGTATCGCATTGTAATTTTTTTTCTGTTTGATTTACAATTGACTTCCTTTCGTTTAAATGGATTGTGAACTTAAAGCTACAGTTCGTGTCACTCTTTAATAAAACAGACTTGTTTGACTTGTACTAATCTTAGTCAAAGCAACTCTACTCGTAGTCAAAAGACCAATCCGCACTAATTTTGAGGAATGAAAAGGAGCGGTCGTTGTTTTCCGCGAGATATTTAACAGAAAGAGGAATAACACAACGACTGAGGCTTTTGTCAATATCTTCATGTAAAAAATAGAAAAAAGGGTATTATCGCCGAGAGCAAAACTAAACCACTAACTTCCATACAGCAACACAGCCCTTTTTCAGTGCGGTACTAGATGAAAAGTACAGAAAGTTTTGAGTTTAAATCGACTTGCATTGGTATCCAACGAACTTCATAAAATGTCCCCTAAAAGCTTCTTAGTAGTTTAGTATGCGGTGCCATAAGCGGGGTTATCGTGGCATGGCTTGACCTCAAATTTTGGAAAGTAAAGGAAATGGACCGAAAGGAGCGCGAGAGGAGATAAGAGAAGTGAGAGACGAGCAGGATGATCTTAACAACCTGAAGAAAATGATGAGAGACTCGACAAGAGGGCTGAAGAACACGAGGAGATGCATTATGAAGGTCGGTGTTCAAATTTTTATTTCAGTTGAAATGCTTCAATTTGATGACAGCGCGCTGTCATCAAACTTTCTGGCATTTTGACAGGTTGTTTTGATATTTCTTGTTTCATTCGACGGAAACCGGGAACGCTGTGATCAAATATAGTGATTCAATTCATAAGTAACAGGTCAAGATTGATCGCTGAAAGTTGCATGAATGAATCTTTTATATCATGATCAGTAACAGTTAGTTGATCCAGAAATAGAAGTATTAATCGCGACTATACGATTGTGAAATGTTTGTTGTTAAAACATTTGGAGTTTTTTCTTATTACACTTTTGTGATTCTAATGGTAATTTTTATTGTTTGATTTACACTTGACTGTGAGGCGTGAGTGGCCCAGTGGTCAGAGCGCTGGACTCTGGGTCGGACGGCCCGGGTTCGAGTCCTGGATGGGGCACTGCGTTGTGGCCTTAAGCAAGTCGCTTCACTCACCTTGCTTCGTCTTCTCGGATAAGACGTTAAGCCGGAGGTCCCGTCTCCTGCAGGGTTTTGGGGTAGGAGACGTTAATTTCCCACGCACGAGATTACTGTGTGATGGATGTCCTCCCCTGGTCTTCTCGGATAAGACGTTAAGCCGGAGGTCCCGTCTCCTGCAGGGTTTTGGGGTAGGAGACGTTAATTTCCCACGCACGAGATTACTGTGTGATGGATGTCCTCCCCTGGGTTGGGTTGGGTGGATTTTAGTGTTAAGGGTAGTGCCCCGCATGGGACTCCATGTCCCGTTCGCACTGACCCTTTTGGCGTATGTCTATCCATGTAGACGTACCCAATAAAGCTGTTAAATAAATAAATATACCATTACTTTGATCTGACTTCCTCTCGTTTAAAGAATGTTTAATTTAATATAGCAACCCATGTCGTTCTCGATAAACAAAACGAACCTTGTGACTTGATGTGTGACTTGTATTAATCTTAGTCTTGTTTTTAGCGGGTTATCCATCAGAATTTCTCGAAGATTTTGTTAAGAATGCCGAAATATACATTACCTAAAAATAACCTGTGCTGTTCCCTTAACGCATGAGAACACCGCGATTGATTGGGTGACTTCCAATCGATATTTTATGATGCAAATGATTTTGTGGTTTATTTTAGGAACTCCATCATCCGTACACGTGATCGCAGGAAGCTTGTCTATAGGCATAGAATGTTGTGCCGCGTAGCACTGGGAACACAAATGGTGAAACAGAGAATTAACTCTGAAGTGTAAATTTAAGTGCTACTTAAACCCATGAATAACCCACAGGACGTTAGCCCTAATAAAGGGAAACAGGGAACCACACGAGGCAAAGAAAAAATCTTTTGACCTCGGTGGGAATCGAACCCACGACCTCCGGATTAGATCTACCGTTACTCTGCCGACTGAGCTACGAGGTCGCACAGAGAAAGTCGGGGACGATTTAGGATGGTGAATCGCGGCGAAGAGAAAGTAAGGGTACATATGAATGTTGTGCTGCGTAGCACTGGGCACTTAAATTTACACTTCAGAGTTAATTCTCTGTTTCACCATTTATAGGCATAGAAGACTACCGTTTCCATAGAGTTGGAGTGTGACGTCACGAATTCCCGGCATTAATTATGATATACCGTCATCCGTTATCAGTTTTCGAGTTTCTGAGTGTTATGGTGAGAGAGGATGGAAGCGCACTAGTTGTTTGGCAAGACGTGGTAAACAGATTTGATTTCCGACGAACTTGATGAAATGTCCCCCAACAAAGTTCTTTGGAGTGTAGTATGCGGCACCACAAGCGGGATTATCGCCGCATGGCTTGTCTTCAAATTTTTGGAAAGGAAAGGATGTGGACCGAAAGGAGCGCGAGAGGACATCAGAGAAGTGAAAGACGAGCGGGATGATTTTAACAACCGTGCGGAAAAATTGCCTGAAGAAAATGATGAAAGACTCGAGGAAAGGGCTGAAGAACACGAGGAGATGCATTATTAAGGTCGGTGTTCAAATTTCATTTCAGTTGAAATGCTTCCATCATCCTTTGATAGACGCCGACATTACACGCCTCTAGAACTGTGAGAAGTTGTATTTCAGTTTTAGCTAATTTGTGTTGTTCCACGTCAGTGTTTCTTAGTGTTTTTTACATACGCTTCTCTTTTTGCGAAAAATACGATTTTTACGACTTCTTAAGGTGTGATTTACAATTTCCCATTTGCATCACAACCTGGTGGGTGCTGGGTCTGTGTTTTTGTAACACTCGTGTCAGTTGTGTTCTTGTGTTAGGATATGAACTTGATTCGTTTGTCTCACGGTGAAGTCACTTTGGATGTTGATCGCGACTGCAACACTGCCAGTCTTCATCAGGCGATGAGGTCGATTGTTTACGTGTTGCTACTCGTAGCACGTTGGTTCTCCTACAGGTGCCCTTCGATCTCCATTAATCTTCCGGTTGGTATATGGTGTTCCCTTATTGGTCCACATTGATTGACTGCTGTATGCTGCCCTATTTGATCGTGTGTATCCAAGCGTCGGGAATTTTTGATTCCGCTATCCGGGTTGACGTCGTTGGGATGAAGTCTTATATGGATAACCTCTTGACAGTGACTCCATCGTGAGACAAACGAATAAAGTTCATCTCCTGTCTTACTCCACGATGAACAACTGAATAATCTCCTGACTTAAACCACGATGAACAATAACCTCAATAACTTTATTACATAACTCTTGCGTGTTGGTGCATGGATAACACGCAACAGTGGCAGCGAAGAACCACAATGCGTGATTTAACTGATGGTCGAATGGTTTGTTTACATCGAAAATCACGTAACACTACACGTGAAATCTAACACGGAAAAGGTGAATTGTATGGAAACTGAAAAATCATTGTTAGGTTAAGGCACCGTCGTACATTTGTGATCTGCTTACATCTTACACCCCATCGCGTCAACTACGCTCATCATTCAAGCACCTTCTGGTTTCTCCATCCTATAACTTGAAAACATATGGCGCAAGATCCTTTTCTGTAGCAGCACCATCATTATGGAATGCTTTGCCAAGTGAAATTAGAAATGCTCAGTCTGTGTCTGTTTTTAAACGTAGATTAAAAACTTTACTCTTTAGAAAAGCCTTTTATAATTAATATTAGCTGTCTTAAGTGTTAATGTTTAAGTTTTTTTTCCTGTAGGCGCCTTTGAACAGTAGGATACTGGCGCGGTATAAATCTTTTATTATTATTATTATTATTATTATTAAGAAACCCTAGTGATGCGATTTTTGTGTTTAATTCAATAGATATGAAGAGCTGTCAAGGAAGAACTTTTACCGTAACTGGCATTTGCTGTGTGAAACAAAGATTTTTTGAGCAAGATTAGTCAAGATTAATTTTTAGAGCTGATACTCTATATGTTACAACTTATTTGTCATTGGTCATAAGTTATTAGTGTAGGGTTTTGGAATCCTGTATGTACAGTTTGTTATGATTTACTAAGAGTCATAACTTGTCGATAAAGTAACAATCTCCGTCAATTACTGTCAAACATTTGTGAGTAGTCAAGGACTGTTTGTAGGCTATCAAAATACGAAGTTATATGTGAAGGTTTTAGAATCCTCTAAGGATAGTTTGTTATGATTTAGTGTGAGTTATAACATGTCGATAGAGTAACAATCTCCATCGATGACTGTCAATCATTTGTGAGTAGACAAGGACTGTTTGTAGGCTATCAAAACATGAACTATTTTGTAGTTCAAAAGCAAAGTGTCGTCTGAGGTCTCTTTTTTCAAGATATTTAGGTCTTAAGTTCATTTGAAGTTTTGTTGTCAACCGGTGTAAACATTAAAGAAGATCGTATTGTTAGCGCGTGATTTGTTTTGCTGGACCAAGCGGAATTCAATAAAATGACGTACCATTGGAATAGGAAAACTTAACAGACTCCACACGAATATATAGTGGATTATTTGCTCATAATTCTCATAACAACGTAGTTTAGTTTGGGTATTCTCATGACCTTTTTACAGGATAATATATAGATATTATCGGGAGAAGCTGCTTGTTCATCACTTCAGGGTTTATTCAAAGTCGCTCTTTTGTGGCGTCCTAAGCTTAGCCCGAGGCCCATCTTTTTAGGCTTTTGATTTCGACTTGTCACAGCATAGAGAGGTTAAGAATTTGAAATTCGTCGTGCTTGACAAGACACGTCACAAAATGTTCAAACGCCATGGAAACGGTGCTCTTCAAAATTCGGTGACTTTATATCCAGCAGAATATTTCGAGTTCGCGAGTGTTGTGGAAGCGCACTGAAGAACACTTAAGGTGTTTCAGTAGCGAGACGTGGTAAATAGATTTGGTTTCCGACGAACTTGATGAAATGTCCCGTAACAAAGTTCTTTGGAGTGTAGTATGCGGCACCTTAAGCGGCATTATCGCCGCATGGCTTGTCGTGAAATTTTTGCAAAGTAAGGGATCGGGACCGAAGGGAGCGCAAGAGGAGATCAGAGAAGTGAAAGACAAACAGGATAATCCTAACAACACTGCAGATAAACTGCGTGAAGAAAAGGATAAGAGATTCGACAAGGGGGCTGGAGAACAAGAGGAGATGCATTATTAAGGTCGGTGTTCAAATTTTTACTTCATTTGAAATACTTCCATCACCCTTGGTAGACGCCAACATTACACGCTTTTAAAACCGTGAGAAGCTTGTGATGTTGCACGTCAGTGTTTCTCAAGTTGTTTCATTTAGATACACTTCTCTCTTTGCGAAAAATGCGATTTTTACGAACTTTTTGTCCCTTTTACACCAGTACTTAATGAAATTTGCAATTTTTGGGAAAGAAGCGCGTGACGTCAGGTCACAAAAAATATTAAGTGAGTTGTGATTTCGGGGTAACTCCATAGTGTAGCATCCGAAGAATCGGTGGCCAGTTACACATAACTGAGGAAGGTACTGAAACCCTAGTAACGCAATTTTTCTTTTATTCGACAGATATAAAGAGCTGCCAAAGAAGAACGTATACCGTAGCTGGAATTTGCTGTGTGCGAACTTTATGAGCGAAGAAGTTTTAGAGCTGGTACTCCCTATGCATAACAATTTATTGGCCTCAGGTCATAAGTTGTTAATGAATGTTTTGGAGTACTCTACTGATATTTTTTTATGATTTACCGCGAGGTATAACTTGTCGATAAACTAACAACTTTTCGTTGGCTATCAACGCATGAAATGTCTCGTTTAACGATTGAGAACGAACGGTAAACAAACGATTGCGTGACTTTCGAATTGACTTTTCCTTATGCAAATTGTTTTGTGAAAATTTTCGGGGAATCCCCTATCCGTAAATAACGTCATGTCTCACTTGTGTGGCACAGAATCAAACGAGGAAATTTGAACCAAAGTAAAACAGCGACTTGGTCATACACGTGTTTATGACAGCAATGGAATTGCTGAAATGAGTAATGAAAATGTTTTTCAGGAGATGAATTTTTTTTTTAAATCAGCTACTTGCTTGTTCTCACACGGTAAGGAGCTTTTCGATATTACCTGCGGAAGAAAATAGTATCATGAAATTATTCGTCGCCTAGATACGAACGCCCTGCTGTGAAACTGTAGTGCAAGAAGTTTTTAATGGTTGTACCTCTATTACGTTTTGCAAAATAGACGCAAGGCACCAGAATAATCTATGATAACGATCTCATAACTTAACACCATTAGTACTCGACCAGATACACAAAGCAAGAAATTGCAGAGGTAGGAATACGAACACACCAGTGTCAAGAGTATGTAATGACTTGTGGGCTGCAATGTCAGCCTCTACCGATTCTCGAGTAAAGTGTTGACACAATTCTTCTGATTCAAATCAAGAGAATTGCTAATTTATCATTTTATGAACCCCTTCGTAGTTGTCCAGTCACCAGAATTCAAGCTCGACAGAGGCACAGAACCAGAGTTTCAGATTTTAATATTAAAATATTTCATAAATTATTGTTATAACTTCTCAGTTGAGGAGAAGCTAGACGAATGCCTCAGCGGTAAATGTGTTGCGTTTGATCGGGACCGCCCGCGGGTCACCTCGATTGTCTGGGAAGAGTGGAATAGAGGGTGTGTACTTCTTTCACGCTGGATACCTGAAGAAATTCAACGCTGCGCAAGCGCTAAATCATGCGCTGGGCTTGATCAACGGTGTGGCTCAATGGACTTCACCTACTCTTCTGTTAAGGTAAAAAACGAACGAAGCACGTCCTTGTGAAAATCAAAAAGGTTGTTTCAAAATGGTCGTGGTAGATGCTTAAGTAGTGAACTGAAAGGGTTGCATTCAAGGCAGTGAGTTTTAAATGTGGATCTCGTAAATTGAGATCCTCCTTAGTCAGTCAATAGATGGATGATTTTTGCCGCTGTCCATTTAACCCTTTAACCCTAAGACTGACTAACATCTAACTTCTCCTTACAACATCACCACTGAATCAAACTTTAAGGTCATGAGAATAAAGGAGATGATCACCAACTAAAGAAGCTCTTGATTGTTCAACAAATTCTCCTTGTCAGAACCTTAGGAAATTTCAAGGGAGTAGTATGGAGAATATTCATACTGATGTTAAGGAGTCAAGGGTTAAGCAATACTGAGACTGCACGTTCTCTCTGTTACCAGCGTCTTAAGCCACGCGGGATGTTAGGAGAACAAGAGAGAAGTGTGTAAATCACGAGCGGGAGGCGAGAACTATTGTTAAAGCTGCAGTTAAAAGAACTACATAGTCGTTTTGTTTCCCTTTTTCTTTCGTACAGGAGCTTCGTAAACTTGTTGGTCTTCATCATGACGTTCAGCTTCTCTGTCTTGAGTTACACGTGAAACAGTTTGTTGGTGAAAGGCTGTTGCCTTTACTGGAGAAAATGGACCCATTTGACAGGTGAGACAGCAAAGCTACAAGTTAAAATATCATTTTTATTTACATAAAATATCGATATAAATATTTCGATAAAGTTTGCTTCACAAGGCAGGATCATTCAATTGAAAGTTGATAGTTAAGGCGAAATGACGGTTGAAAGCTTTGAAAATGATCGAAGAGAGACAATGAAGTACGGTTTGGATCATTACCGTATTCCAAACACCCAGTATTTTCCAGAACAATGCGAGAAACCGCAAGTTTTTACAGCAGGCAGCAAAGTTTAAATCTCGAAACAGGTTAAAACGCTGCAAATGTTTGTTTTTTCGTCCTGATTACTCAAAACAAACTCTGTGATCATTAGATTTTTATTCTGAGAAAAGAAAACTAGATAGATAAAATATAAATGGATAAATGAATTCATAAAAACGACTTAAAGAAAGATACCCTTGAGCTGCGTGGCACTGAGTAGCAAAGTGTTCGGCAAACATGAACAGAAAGGTGCCATGTTTTGGATGATGGTTTCAAAAGTTCTGGGCCCGGCCTTTCAAGGCTTGTTGAATAATAATTGTTAACCAAATGAAACGAAATGACATACATTAAAACACGACATTGAAATCATTTTTTTTTTTACCTTTTTTTTAAAATTTTTTATTTATTTATTTATTTTTTTTTCATTACCTATTTTTCCTTAGTGAATTCCTGCGTTTGTATCGCGTGGTTCATGGTCTTCTTTGTGGAGGAGGCAAAGTTTTTCCAGCCATGGTCCTCGATAATATCTAACGGGCGTAAGCTAAGTTTCATGGTACCGTTGTCTCCATAGCAAATCCTGATAACTGTTCTTCTCGGGCTATCATCTGTTCGTTTTGGGTTATCTCACTACTGCGACTTTTGTGACGCTATATTCTTGATAAATATTCTAGATAAATAACTTTCATCAAAAGGTTGATAGATCCATTCGCGACCTGTACTTTGTAGAGGATCGTAGCCAATACTTCGCCGTAAATCAATTAGATGCCCCGTTCTTTCGTAACCTGTAGTGTTCATTGTGGATATTACGGTTTCGAATCCATTCGAGTTAGAGCAAGGTTCTGAATCAAACTAAACAAGATAATAACGAAGAACGAGTTGTTATGTTACATTGGTGGTCAAGTGAAACACTAATTTGATTATCAACTAGAAGTGGATAAAGGGAAATTAACCTTGAAATACAACGGACCGAAACGACCTGACTAAACATGGCGATAATGTGGGAACATGCAAAAGGATTTAGAATGACTGCCACGCCCTTATAGTCAGCTGAAAGGCATCCGTTATTTGATTTGATGATTTTATTTAATGTGGGAACATGTTAATGTTATTGTACATGGGAATGTTATTCATTTATTAGGAGCGTGGAACAAAGAAAAAATATGACCCTTCTGCGGGGTTTCGAATCTCACTACCCTCAAACATCCAAGCACAACGTACATGCTTGAGATCTTTATTCTGACTTGGTCTTCACGTATCGTAAAATTGTGCATGAATATCCGCCTAATGCGCAGTAATTCCCTTCTGACGTAAAGCAGTATCAAAGCTGATACAACAGCCGGTCGTTTCGAACCCGATAATAAATATTATACTATCAGCGCTATGCATGATTAACAAAATTCGAGCTGAAAGATAATTTGGAAGAATATTTCGGTTTCCAAATTTATACTAATGTCAATAGAACAGTCACCGATCGCAGTACAAGGATTTTAAACCTCTCTTTTGAGCATATCTCAAATGTCCAGCGTTACACTCATAGCTGAGGCTTTTGGCCGTATCGTGTACAGTTTTACACGCGGTGTAACAGAGCATTGCAACCCAGAGGAACCTGAAATTACGGCGCGGGTTTTTGATCCTCTATTAAACAACGGACGCGAGTGGTTTCACCATCCTGTCGACGAGGTGATTTATCAACAATACAGCTACAGAAAAGCCACGGCTCAGGACTATCTACCTTCCAGCGATGTCTGTGCAAGGCTTATCGACGCCTCTTCGGTAGAGAACCCAGAAGTACCAGAAAATCAAACAGAGGAAGATGAAGCAATGGCTTGGAAGCGACTCAGACCATCCGTTCTCCTCTCAGTTTGTCAATCAATGTACATTGGCTCTCTGATTTCGTTTTTAACGGCTACCTTTGTAGGTTCAGCATTCATACTGACATCGTACGTATGCTACGAGACTGTAAACTACTGCCAATTTTACCCAAAAGAGTCTATTCCAATAAGAATACAGTGGATGAGATCGATCTCGGATATCATTGCCTGTGCCTTCCTTTACATTTGGTTCTTGGCGTATTTGCTATTTCTTTTCCGTCCGTATCAGTTAAAAGGAGTGAAAAGGAAACTATTTTTAGTCTGTTGTGTGACGTACTGCTTGGATTCCCTTTATCGCGTGGGTCTTCAAGTCCTGAATATATCTCATTCCAATCTATCCTCAGTGCAGAAGATTCCTTTAAATTTTTTGTTCGTCATGAACTATTGCGTCCAGGTATATTTATTGACTAAACATTTACGCCTTACAACGAAGAAAGGACAGCTGATTTTGTTCCTTCAACTGATAGTACCTGCTTATTTTTGTTTGTTTCTAGCCATTCCAGTGGCATCGTTGATTTATCCAGCTTACATTAAACAAGACAATGAAGGGAAATTACTAATCGCTCTATTTGCTCCTCTCATTGGAGTCGTACTCGAAGTCATCTCACGAATTTTTGTTCAGCGGTTATGCAATATTACTCATCCGGGATATTCGTATGTCTTGCTGGCGCCGTTGTATTGCGCTTCGGCGGTTATGTTCCGTCTCTTACAAGCGGAACTAGATAGCTTAAAGTCCATCGCTATTATTGGGATTATTCACGGCGCTGCAGAGGTCATAGAACGAAGCACCATGGTTGCAATTGATCATCTTTGCCATGCGATCCTGAAAAGAGGATCAACTCCTTGGGGAGGTTTTCGCACTCCTCGCCGTGAGAGACTAATGGCTGATATCGCCATCATGAGCATGTTGTATGAATCAATTGCTATAGTGTCTGTAAACGGTGTTTTATACTTGTATCAAATGATATACTTACAAAACGAAACCTTTGTAAATTTACTCAAGTATTTTGCCATTTTCACTTCTGTTCCACTGGCGATCGAGTGTTTCTTTATCACCCTATCGATTATGATCGCTACACGCTATCAGAATATGCCTATCATGGCCATATGGCGAAGAAGATGGAAAAGACATATAGTTCTGGCGATTATTACATCAGTATCTATAGCAAATTGGACCAGTACAAACCTTTTAGCGATTGTCCATCAGCGCTTTGCTGAAGATTCGTCAAATAAGACTTGTAAAATGCCGTTTAGTTAAGTTGGCATATGATTACCACCTTTGCTTCCTCAAAATAGGATACTTTGTAGATGCATTTTTGTTTTGTTTTTCGTCAGTTTTCTATTCTCGACTGCATGCTTTCGGACAGGTAGTGAAATAAGCTTCATTTTTGAAATATATATAACGAAAGCGGGCGAATAAAATCTTGAGTTGGGTCTGTGAAACCGTGATGATGACTGGCACGCCTTTTGGTCAGCCAAAAGGCACCCTGCAGCGGTTTAAAATTATTTTTGTAAGTAACGTCACTCCAAGATTTAAGGTTCTTCCAGCTAAGTGGTGGCATGCACAGTTCTTTAAGGTGTGGTTGTTAACAGAATTATTTTGTCAAACAGGGTATCGATTTTACCAGTTTAGTTCTAAAATTTCACCTGAACTCGGTGTCTTGAATGGTGTGTGGAGAGAAAGGAGCAGAAATTATGTAGGAACAGAAATTGTGACTGATTATGCAACCCGCTGTGAAATTATTGCTTCTGAAATTTGTACACTAATTAATTTTTTCACTTATTAAAAGCAGCCATTATACTTGTTATCCTGTGGCTTAAGATTCGTTGCTGTCGATGTTACAGCTGAGTTCTGAACCAAGAAGTCGAGTGGAGTGTCCGGCATGATTACGCTCTGGATTTTAGGATCACGTCTATGGAGGGAAGGTAAGGCGGATTTGAAAAGGATGCCGCACTCTCCCTATGCCAAATCTTCTTGAAATTACCTTCTCCCCAAAGAATAGGTTTCGTGTTTAGAACCTCTGTCATTTGGTTTTAAACGAATTGAAACTCCCTAAAATTATACATAAGCATACTCCTGTGGTATTGTCTTACTGATATCAAACAATACAAACAACCCTGTATAGCTGATCATACAACAAACATTGCATGTGAAATGAAAACAAAAGAGTAAAAGGAAAAGTAGAGAAATGTCTCATTCCTCAAATTTTGCGGCTTAAAAAATTACTGAAAGTTACAGCCTTGATTCTGAGAAGAGAAATTGCGAGCTTTTACAACTCCTTGGGAAAGTTTTCGCACTCCTCGTGGTGAGAGGCTAATGGCTGATATGACTATTATGAGCATGCTGTTTGAATCAACTGCTATAGTTTCCGTCAACGGCTGTTTGTATTTGTATAAGTTCAATTTCCTTCAAAACACCTCTCTATTAGAAGTGTTGAAGCCTTTTGCTCTAACAACTTGTCTTCAATTGGTGATTGAGTGGTTTCTCACCAGCGTATCCCTCGCGATCGAGACTCACTATCAGAACATGGCTGTTATGGCTGTTTGGCAAAGAAGATGGAAAAGACATACTTTAATGTCACTTACAACTTCAGTGCTCATAGCATTATGGACTAGCACACTTCTGTTAATTATTGTACATGGAAGATATAAAGAGTCTTCGTATCAACCTTGTAAGATGCCGTTTACTTAGAACTGAAGAATGAAACAGAGAAGACGCCAAGTCTTCTGTAGGTTTACAGTCGTTTCGATATAACTTTACTAAGAGCAGTCACGTATCCTACGCAGCTCATGTATCGAATCGACTTTGTCGATGCATCGAATCGACTCGTGCCGAATCAACTTCAAAGATAAATACATATATATGGTCTTTATTCCATCATAAGATAAAACTACATATCTTATGTTACAATGAATTGAAAAAACTACAGAAATCTACATACATATCATGAATGTATATCATTACAATAAATGGAGCTTAAATATCAACCTATTTACAAATGTGTTCATAAAGCGCTGTGTATTAATTTTCGGGCGCGCGCAGCCTTTTTTCCTGAGATTGTGTAGATATGTCTTTTGGACAGGAATGATATCTTTCAGGGGGTGGCAATCCGTTGATTTTAGTTTCTTCAAAATGTTTCTGTCTTGTTTGTTTAAAAGGTTCTTGATAAAAACTGGAAATGAGATAAAACCGCGTTTATGACATCGGTCTAAAAATTTTTGTACAACCGTAAGATCGGACTCAGATGCCCCATAGACTGAAAGTGCATAGCTAAAATTAGCCAAAACAATCGATATAAAAAGATGATCAATCTCTGCCTGAGAGTAATGTTCCTTTCTCAATGTTCGTAGGACGTGTAAACACTTGTTTGCTTTGACAAGCTTAGTTCTTACATGCTCATCAAATTTTCCATCACTCTGTAAAGTTACTCCTAATAAAACGAAGCTATTACATTGGGGAATATTATTAATTGGAGAGTAGAGTACATTATGATTTTTCTTTCTAACAACCAGCTCTTTACATTTGCAAGGGTTGCAGACCATTTTATTGTCTTTACACCATGTTAAGAACTGTCATACTAAGTCGGCAGACGGGTCACTATTCCTAGTGATAGGCGAAAGAATAGTGGAATCATCGGCATATTTAAAAAGCACAGGGCAACCATTAAAAAAAATCTCCAAATCGTTCAAAAATATATTAAAAAGATACGGTCCGCTTACACTACCTTGTGTGGTTCCTCTATTGACAAGTTTCCACTGTCCTAAAAAATCATAACTAACAACACGCTGTTGTCTTGCATAGAGGAAACTATGATACCAATTGATAATGTACGGATTTAGAGGTAGCTGTTTCAGTTTGGCAGACAAAATAGCATGGTTCACAAAATCGAAAGCCTTACTGAAGTCCATGGTAAAAATTCGCACTGCGCTATAGTCACTACTATCTAAATACTTGTATGTCTGGTGCTGGATAGCGAGCAAGGCATTTGTGCAACTACCCGCCTGTCTATATGCAAATTGGGTGTGGCTCAGGTTGCTCTCAATGACTGACTGTGCTTGTGTACGATACACGACCTTCTCAAACAACCGGGCAATAACGGGAGTAACATTAATACCACGGTAGTCCGAGTCCTCTATAGGCATGTTCACTTTGGGGAGAGGGTTAACATTTGCCCTTTTCCAGGAGTCTGGCCATGTATGAGTAGACAGCGACAGATTCCAAACGTGAGTGACGATTGGTGTGAGTAGCTCAGCACAGTCTTTCCAGATCCAGTACGGGAGGTCGTCTGGTCCCGTTGCGGTTTTCTTTACATGAACTAAGGTATTCCAGACACACCGCTCAGATATTTTCGGGGGCTTTACACTGTCCGGGATATCCATATCACTAGGTCTAACGTAAGTGTCATCATAGCACAGGTTGGCGAAGTAGTCGTTCAGACGAACTAGAGAGTTCTTGTCCAAATTTATCAACGATGACCTGCGACGCTGCGATAGGGCGTCCACGCCCTTCCACCACTCACCGCTACCAATGGCAGCCAGTTTTCTTCTGTTCTCGGTTATCAGCTCAGAAATGCGCTTATTAAATAAAGACAGGCGTTCCTTATTCTTTAAAGATATATGGGACTTAGTCCTCAGCATACACTTGACTAATGGGGACATCCAAACTGGGTCACTCGATGACATGCGTACAGATTTTTGCGGCATAAACTTATTCATCACTGCACGAATCTTTACCTCAAGCACCTCGACCGCCTTGTTTATGTCCACCTCATTGAGGACGTCACTCCAGTCCAGCGCAGTGAGTGCCATATAAAATGACTGTTTCCGATGTTCCCTACAGTCCCGCACAAGAACTTTGCGGCGCATAGGTTTAAGCTTTAATCCCGCCGGTACAACAAAGCCTTCATGGTCTGTCTTAATAAGCATATGTATGGAATATGCTTGACCGAACAGATCCGCTCGGTTGGTCATACAGTTATCCAAGCACGCGTTACCCCGTAAATCTTGCCCATAGGTATCTAATATTAAGGTCAAGTTAAGATAGAACTCTACACTTGACAGGATTGTGCGTTTAGTTATAACAGTGCTTTTATCAAGACATGCATTTTGGAAAAACCCGTATAGGTAATGACATAATTATAAAGTACTCAATGTAATAAAGAGTACAAAATGAAATGGAGATATTTTGACATTATAATATCATTAACAATAGATCTCGCTTTCCTTGATAACCTAGGAGATGAACCTTTCCCTACCAGAAAAGCGTTAAATGAAAACAAAATTTGTCGGTTATGGGAAAATTAATAAATAATTTTTGTGAATAAATGGAAAATTGAGTGCTATTAACCTACCATCGGCGACAAAAGTTGTTAACACACTGACCTTTTCAACCTCCTATTACTTCAGTTTTATCTATTTTGACCTTGTTACTTGATTCCATGAACCTTTGAGGGGAGGGGGTAGGGGGGTCTTATCATTGATTTAGATTGTGGTTGAGAAATGACAAATAGGGAAGGTTTGCAGGGAAAGCAGGATAAAGGACGGACAGAATCCGAACTGCACAAGGAAAACCCACAAATGACTTATTACTTTCCTGTTCACGAGAAAACAAAAGAAAATAAACTGAGAAAATCATTAGAAAAAGAAAAATAATGAGAATTGTTCAATTTACACTTTTATGGAATGCATGAAACACAGCCTAACCAAGAATTTCGCGTAATTATATTTTCATATGACACTTGTCATTCACGTCAGCTTAGTTTTGCAATTTTTTTTATCAAACGTAATTTGCGAAATTAGTTAATGTGTAACATTCGTTTCATAGAGCATAGTTATTGTAGGATACATTAAATCATTGTATCCTTTGCGATCATCACAGAGTTTTATTTTACGTAAAAGATTCGGCAAGTGACGTGAGTAACGAAAACGAACTTTCTCTATGACAGCTGCGTGACAAAAATTATGGTATGGTTGGAGACTGACAATCCGCACCCCAACCCTGTTAAATTTTACATCTCTCACAGTTGAACGTTACTGGGCACTAACATCAGTAAAATTGTAAAATTTTCAGTTCGCTCTGCACTCGATCATGAAAAAAAGTCTTAACTCGATTTGCAATTCTAGTTCTTTTCCCTTGCTTCATGACCCAAGTCTACCTTATAAGTCAATAACATCGTTTACAACGGAAGAAATCAATTCAAATCCCCGTGGTTCCGCTCGGTCGAATTTGATGCAACCAAAACAACTCGAAGAGTGCAATTAGAAACAACCTCGGCGTCATCACAAAATTGCGTCAAACCCTCCATAGACGACTTTCCAAACGATTATATGACCCAGTATCAGCGACAGAAGCAAGGAGGTGTTGTAACTAATTTTCTACTGGCCATTTATATTTTTGGAGCACTTGCCTGGAACAGATCACGAACAAGCTTCACATGAGCTCTGATGTTGCTGGTGCGACTTTTATGGCGGCTGGAAGCTCTGCCCCTCAGTTGTTTGCCTCGTTAATTGTTCGTGTTTGATTTGGTTTGCTTGATCAGGCAAAGTGAATGATATTCCTCACGCTCGGTACATTTTCCTTGACCAGGCGAAATAAATTAACGTTTTAGGGAAAGGAAAATGGTGACAGACTCCTATGATTTTTTAATGAATTCTTCAAATGTAATTCTGATCCTGACGATCTCGGTCACTTTACCAAAATAGAACATCTAAAGCGGGCTTATAAAAGACATCCACATAGTTGCAAAGGAAAACTCAAGACAAAGCCAAGAATAGCGTGACATTTAAAGTAATAGACAATTATTCAAACGACATCCAACGGGGGAATCCCCTCTTGATACAACAGATGGCGATGTGGTTTCCTGGAAGTAACATTTTAATCACTGCAGGGAGTTTAAAGGTTGACACCCAAGGAGAAATTTAGAATCTCGAATAACCGTAATGACGCCATTTTCGTCTTGACATTTCACTAAGGAAGCACAACTTTGCACATCCTGCAGCAGGGAGTGTAATACTTGCCAGAATCTCATTGTAATTTTTTCATTGTTTGATTTACAATTGACTTCCTTTTGTTGAAACGTGTCACTATAATAAACAGACTTGTTTGACTTGTGTTAATCTTAGTCTAAGCAACTCTACTCGTAGTCAAAAGACTGATCCGCACTAATTTTGAGGAATGAAGCGAGATACAGCGGCTGAGGCTTTTACCAATATCTTCATGTCAAAAATAGAAAAAAGGTATTATCGCCGAAAGCTAAACTAAACCGCTACTTTGGAAGAGCATATTAACGACGCTTATTAACAGACAGGCGTAACCGATCACATAAGGAGAGAGAATATTATTCTCAAAGGAAAAGGATGAAGACAACAACAAAATGACTCATGGAATGAGAATCAAATCAATATCGGAGTTAAGACCTGTATGTTCTAAAATTGCAGCATAGCTCTGACATTATCAACTTACAGCAGAAAAATACTATAGCTTCAAAGTTGGTTATACATTAAGAATATAGGACGAGTTAGCTTTAGAAACTCTTTACCGTGACCAATTTAGAGCAACTTGCGACACTTTTGTTCCAAGTTATGCGCACAACTTGGAACTGGAGTGTTCCAAGTTGAGCGTACAACTTGGAACTGGAGTGCTCCAAGTTGTGCGCGCAACTTGGAACTGGAGTGCTCCAAGTTGTGCGCGTTCTTCTCTAATAATTTCTTGGTTGATTTATTAATTTATTCCTTTATTAATTTCCTTTGTCTTCCTTTGTCTCTAAAATATCAAAACAAGTACATAAAACAATGGAATGTGGTTTTGCCAAATAGCATTGACTTCCGTTTCCTTACTGACGTCATTACAACAAATCAACGGTTTTTATTGGCTGTCGGTCTTATTGACTTTACTACAGCAACACAGGTTCTTTTCAGTCCGGTACTGGATGAATTGTAGTGAAAGTCTTGAGTTTAAATCGACTTGGATTGGTATCCGACGAACTTGATAAAATGTCGCCCAAAAAGCTTCTTATTAGTTTAGTATGCGGTGCCATAAGCGGAGTTATCGTGGCATGGCTTGTCCTCAAATTTTTGGAGAGTGAAGGATCTCAACCAAAAGGAGGACATAAAGAGATGAAAGAAGTGAAAGACGAACGGGACAATCGTAATAACCCCGCGGCTAAGCTGCCTGAAGAAAATGATGATAGGCCCGAGAAGAGAGCTCAAGAACATGAAGAAAGGCTCTAATAAGGTGGGCTTTTATTGTATTATTTTATTTCAAATGTCAAATCTATAGATGGAAACGTGAACATTTCGCGCTGTATGGCCTGTCAGGAATTTTCTTTTAGTTTGAACAACTTTGTAGTGTTTTGTTTCTGCTCTAGGCTCAATTAAATTTGTATATTATGTCTAGCCTTACACCTGACCACGCGTATTTTTTCGTTGTTGACGGCATTTAATTAAATCGGAAAAATATACAAGACGTTACAGTGGTCAAAGGGTCAGACCATTTCCGGTCGTTTGGATTCCCTGCTTGTTCTTTTATTGTTTATTTTCGTTGGAGATCTGTACACGTGAGATTATGTTTGCGGTGTCCTCAGTGCAGACAGTCTGCAACTAGCGCTCGTTTATTGGTCTGTTGCGCGAGAGGCACGTTTGCCGATAAGCATATTTGTGTAAAGGTCATTTTTTTGCATTCTCGTGGTCTCTAAATAAAGAGAGAATAAAAACCCAAGTAAAACGATTTTTATCTTTCAGTCAACAGATATAAAGAACTATCAAGAAAGAATGTATGCTGTAGCTGGCATTTGCTGTGGGAACCTAAGACATTTAGAACTGAGAACTGTATATGTGTGATACAAATTATTTGTAATATGTTAAACTTTTTTACTGTGGGTTTCGCAATTTTTAACTGATCGTTTAGTAAATGGCACACTAAGTCATGTCAAAAGTTTTAACAATCGAAAAGCCAACCAACTTGATCAATGCTATTTTCATGCTATTGATATTTTATTGTTTAGTGGAGAACTTACTTTGATGCTACCTTTCTAGGAGATTTTTATACCTTCATTTTTAGTTCAAGTTAAGTGATCGTAAACATTGAAGTACTTTTCATTGTTCGCGCGTGATTTGTTTCGTAGACTAAGCTAAGTGAATTAAGTTGTTTGTGCTTGATTTGGTTTGCTTGATCAGGCAAAGTGAATAATATTCCTCATGCTTGGTACGTTTTCCTTGGCCAGGCGAAATAAAAGGACGTTTTAGGGAAAGAAAAAAGATGACGAACCCTTACGATTTTTTAATGAATTGTACTCTTACAATTCTGATCCTGACGATCTCGGTCACTTTACCAAAATAGAACATCTAAAGCGGGCATATCAAAGACATTCAGACAGTTGCAAAGGAAACTGAAAACACAGCAAAGAATAGCGTGACATTTAAAACAAGAGACAATTATTCTAACGACATCCAACAGAGGAATCCCCTCTTGGTACAACAGATAGCGATGTGGTTCATGACCTCGCTGAGAAAAGAATAATTTTTCTTCCCATATGCTTTTTGCTCACCGGTCCGAGAACAAGAAAGCAACGAGAACATCTTCAAGCTGCTCCACATTTCCTTGTAAATTAGTTACGAGAATTTGGTATTAGATCAAGGTTACAACTTCTAACTGACGAGTTTAAGTATTCCCATCACCTATCTGCTGGATAATGTGTGGATATTAAAGGGAGAAGTAACATTTTAATCATTTCATAAAGTTTAAAGGTTAACAGCCAAGAGGAAATTTAGAATCTCGAATATCCGCAATGACGCCATTTTCGTCTTTACATTTCGCTAAGTAGGCACAACTTTGTGCATTCAGCAGCAGTGAGTGTAATACTTGCCTGAATGGCACTGTAATTTTTTTGTTTGATTTACAATTGACTACCTTTCTTTTAAACGAATTGTCAACTAAAATTCATCACAGTTTGTGTCACCCTCCATAATAAACG